ACAAAAAGGAGACAAATAAGAATGAATAAAAGGAGACAATTAAAAACAAAAAGGAGGCAAATAAAAACAAATAAAAAGATAAATAAAAATAAAAAAAGATAACTAAAAACAAAAAGGAGACAAATAAGAATGAATAAAAGGAGACAATTAAAAACAAAAAGGAGGCAAATAAAAACAAATAAAAAGATAAATAAAAATAAAAAAAGATAACTAAAAACAAAAAGGAGACAAATAAGAATGAATAAAAGGAGACAATTAAAAACAAAAAGGAGGCAAATAAAAACAAATAAAAAGATAAATAAAAATAAAAAAAGATAACTAAAAACAAAAAGGAGACAAATAAGAATGAATAAAAGGAGACAATTAAAAACAAAAAGGAGGCAAATAAAAACAAATAAAAAGATAAATAAAAATAAAAAAAGATAACTAAAAACAAAAAGGAGACAAATAAGAATGAATAAAAGGAGACAATTAAAAACAAAAAGGAGGCAAATAAAAACAAATAAAAAGATAAATAAAAATAAAAAAAGATAACTAAAAACAAAAAGGAGACAGCTTGTTTTTGCGGACTCTGCGGGGAGATAAGTGCCGATGGGGCAGGAAATGGTTTTTGCTGCTGCTTGGGGACAGTAGGAGCCGGGGGGACATTTTGCTGCTGCTGCTGCTGCTGCTGTTGCTCCTGCAGCAGCAAAAGGGACAAATAAAGAAACAATTAAATTCCAAATGGCATTCTGCTGCTTCTGGACTTCTAGTGGCTTTCTGCTGCTGCAGCATGCTTCTGGCCAGCAGCAGCAGCAGCAACAGCAGCAGCAGCAGCCGCCGCAGCGGGAAAAGAGCACAAACCAGCGCGAAAAAAGCCCCAAAACGACCGAAAAGGGAAAAAAAGAAAGCAAACAAAAAGGAGACAAAAAGGAGACAAAAAGGAGACAAAAAGGGGACAAAAAGGAGAAAAGAAGGAGCCGAAAGAGGCTCGAAAAGTCCCGAAAAGGCCGGCGAGGGGAAAAGTGCGGCGAAAACGCCGCGGAAAGCCCGAAAAAGAGACAGTTGGAGCGGAAAAAAGAGGGCGGCGAAAAGGAGACAGACAGCGGCGAAAAGGAGACAAATGGCGGCGAAAAAGCAGCCGAAAAGGGCCCAAAACGGGCCCAAAAAGCGGAAAATGGCGCACCGCGGGGACAAAAAAAGCCGCGGAGACAGTCTCCTGTCTCCTGCTGCTGCCCCGCAGCCCCGCAGAACTTCCCCGGGAGACACTTTTGCGGCTCTGCTGTCCCCGCGGGACAGAAGGCCCCCGGGGGACACAGCCCCGCCTCCACGCAAAGTTTCGCGAAAAACCTGCTGCTGCTGCTGCTGCTGCTGCTGCTGCTGCTGCTGCTGCTGCTGCTGCTGCTGCGGGCGCGGGCGCGGGTGGAGGAGGCGCTCGCAGAGTCTTCTCCGGTGTACAGGTACCCGCACCTGCAGCAGCAGCACAGCCGCTCGCTAGCTGGCTAGCTGGCTAGCTGGCTAGCTGGCTAGCTGGCTAGCTGGCTAGCTAGATAGCTGGCTAGCTAGCTAGCTGGGTGGCTAGCTGGCTAGCAGTTTGCTAGGGAGTTGGCTAGCTGGCTTGGGAGGTAGCTACTCATCCAGCTATCTTCCCAGCCAGCTGGCTAGCTGGCCAGCTAGCTGGCTAGCTAGCTAGCTGGCTAGCTAGCTAGCTAGCTAGCTGGCTAGCTAGCTAGCTGGCTAGCTGGCTAGCTGGCGCACCTGACGTAGTAGACAGTCTCCATTTCTGGCTCTTCGTCTGTCTCCTGGGGCGCGTCTGGCTGCTCCGCATCCCCTTCGTCCTGCTGCCCGTCTTGCTGCTGCTGCTGCTGCTGCTGCTGCTGCTGCTGCTGCTGCTGCTGCTGCTTGGGGATTTGTGTCTCCTCAATGCCCACGCAGTCCTCCAAAAGGAGACAGGCAGCAGCAGCTTCTTCTTTGGAAGCAAAAGGGTCTCCTTCAGAGGCACACTCTGTCCCCTTTCCCAAAACCCCAAACTCAAAAATGCACTCTGAACCGCAAACCCTAAACCCTAAACCCTAAACCCTAACCCCTACCCCCTAAAACCCCTAAACCCTAAACCCTAGTCCCCAAACCCCAGCCCACCCCTTTCCGCCCCTCCCCACCTCCCGCCTGCCCCCGCGCCCCAAACCCCAAATCCCAAACCCTAAACCCTAAACCCTAAACCCTCGCGGACCGCTGAGAACCTCGCTTTTGTAGCGAGCGCCCTGCAAACAGTAAAACCCTTTTTCGCAGTCTCCCGAAGGAGACTCCAAACCCGCGGCTTCGCAGAACTTCCCGGGGGGACAAAGGAGACACTCCAAAACGGAGACAGCGCCCTTGTTGGGGTTGTACATTCCTGCGGCGCATGCAGCTAGCTAGCTAGCTAGCTGGCTAGCTGGCTCGCTCGCTGGCTGCTGGCTGGCTAGCTGGCTAGCTAGCTAGCCAGCTCGCTAGCTGGCTTGCTGGCTGGCTAGCTGGCTGGCTGGCTAGCTGGCTGGCTTGCTGGCTAGCTGGCTGGCTCAAGAGCTCGCTGGCTAGCTAGCTCGACAGCTAGCTGGCTAGCTAGCTGGCTAGCTAGCTGGCTAGCTACTTGGAGAGCTGGCTAGCACGGTAAATAGCTGGCTAGCCGGCTGGGTGGCCAGCTAGCTAGCTAGCTAGCCGGGTAGCTAGCTAGCCGGGTAGCTAGCTAGCCAGCTAGCTAGCTAGCTGGCTAGCTGGCT